TGTGCAGTATAGAGCTAGAACCCTCTCCACAGAAATCCATGGAGTGAAGAGAAGCAGCAGCGGCACTCGACACTGTGCACCCAAACCCTCTCCTTCAGCTGCCAAGATTGGCGCTGCTGCTGCTGCTCTTCACTCCACCAAAATCACGAACTGAAAAATGAATGAGCTGTAGTCCTAGGTCGTCACTATTTGCAATGCCTACAGGGTCCTACCCCGCTCCGACGTAGAGAAGTTTAGAGGTCTATAGGTCCCATAGGGTCCTATGTGTCCAAGATCAACTACTACTTGGAGATTCCAGGTTCGAATCTGACTGGCAGCGAGCTTGGAAAACAAAAAAACACAACTTGTTTTTGTTTCACACTTGGGACTATGTGTGAAACAACTTCAGGCAGTTAGTATAGTCGCCTTGAAACAAGTTGAAGGTAGAGTCCGTGCTATGTAGAGATACATAGAGTGCTACTAGTGTATGTATACTGAGCAACAACAGGCTCGAGCGGCCTAGTGGCCAACATAACAATTAGAACGTCGTGAGACAGTTTGGTTCCTATCTACCGTTGGTGATTTGAAGAGAACTGAGCAGGTTCAAATCCCCCCTGAGCCCAACAAGACGGTCAAATGGCCGAGTGAGGTCCAGTAGACAGGCAGTACATGTTGGCATTCCTAGAACCTCTTGCACAAAGCGGGCTGGTACTTGTGTGTTATAATCCTGTCTGGTTCATGAAGCAAGAGTCAACTTTGAGACAAAGCCATACTTCGCAACTGAAGAAGAAGTCGGATTAGACTAGGAGGGAAGAAGAGTGAAGAAAGAAGGAAGAAGAAGTAGAAGAACAGAAAATTGAACCAGTGCCATCTCTCTCCTCTCCTGTCATCATCTCCCTCACATAAATGCGGCTTCCTCTTAGTAACTACAATATAAATGGACAACAATCGATCTCCAAATGGTCCCCTTAGTGCCAGTGAAGAAGGGGGTGGTCTCCTTTAGCCTCCTCTGACTCTCGTCTCCTCTTGGTATGGCAACTAGCTATGGTGGTTCATCCATGCCTAGCACGGATGTCCAAAGGACAACCCAACCACTACCATGCCTCTCGCCTCTCCTACCACCATAGCCTTCTTGCAGACAAAGTCCATATCCAAGCAACACCCTGGCAGGGGCCTTATTGATGCACGGCCAACCAGGAAAATCAAGATGGTCCTCCATAGCCACGGCAGGTCTCCTTGTCGTTTCCCTCGTCCTTCCTCCTCCTCTACCCCTACTCTACCTCCATAGCCTGGCCGGAGATCCTTCTCCCTCTACATCTATAGCCTAGGCCTTCTCCCTCCTTCCGCGCCCCCTCCGTAGACATGGATTTATTCTTCCCAACCCTCAACTCCTCCATTGCCGAAGCACTCCAGCTCCCTCTCCCTCGGGGTAAAGATCTTTTTTTTTTTTTTTTTTTTTTGGTTATTAATAAATCCACCCGTATCAACAGATAGGAGTGATGGTAAGAGCATGCACTGCTACCTGTCGTGCAGGGGGCTCCGGTCTATTGGTGGGGGAGCTATCACCTGCTGGAAAGCGGGTCCAGCGTCCCCTGAGTTGAGTTGGTAGAACAGATCGTACTGGGAATTGGGCCCAGTGTCCCTCATGAACTTTGCTGATGATGTCACTGATACTACGGATACTATGATGATGATGAAGAGAAAGCTGATGAAACTGATGAGAGTAGCTGCTGACGATGCTATTAATGATAAGATTCTATGGTAAGTTTTAAACTATATCAGCATATCCTGGCCTCACAATCCGTGCGTAACTCCTGGTCTCCCCCCCAATACCAAAAGCAACACTTCCAAAGACAATGCCATCCTAACCAATACCAATCAAGCTGTCATGTTCTCACTACCTAGACTATAACCGGCCCCTTAGGTCATCATGGCAGCAACCCCTTGTTCACCACTGGATTGAGGTGTTGCAAAATTTCCTCCTTCCCCCTGCAAGTGCAAGCGGAGCATACCAGTCCTCGACCCTGGACATCATGTTCACTCTCTCCTCCGTGTCACCGTTATGTCCCAACTTGGTTTCTTTCAAACTTTCAAAATTCAGAACCCTTTGACTCCCGACTCCTGCGTTTCTCGTCCTTCATGAGGGTAGATTTTGAGTTTGTCGGCAACATTGCCCTTTATCCTGTCTACACTGTTGTACCCTTTGACTCATTACTCCCACGTTCCTCGTCGGTCATTCTGCCTCCCATTGATTTTGTAAGGCTAGACTCTGTGCTGAGCCTGTCCTCCCTCTTTGTCCGCGTTCTCCCTCATGTCGTCTCACCGTCTTCTGACGTTCATCCTTCCCTTCCGATGCACTTAACTGTACTGTCCCAATGCCATTGCGTACATGACCGTTGTCTCCTGCTGAACCTGTCTACCTTTTGCCTCCAAACTCATCGGTCCCTGTGTTGATCCATCCGTGCCTGTGCCCTGAAGTCCCCGATCATGTCTAGTTAGTGGTTTTAGTTACTAGTACTTACTACCACTACCTTTTTCAATCCAGATCTGGGCCCACCATTGTTATCCGCACGTATATTCCTGCCCGTCATTGTCGACTGCTTTTTTACGGAACGCTCGGACTGCTCGCTGCCAGACTTCCCACGGATACGCAAGTACTTCGGCTTCCTTTATGAACGTATGTATTGCTTCTATCAGATCATGTTGGTGTGTCGTATTTGCTGCAACACGATGCAACATACCTAAGACCGTCAGAGCCGTTGTGTGCATGAGGCAAACCTCTTTTTTTTTTTTTTTTTTTTTTTAAGAAAGACAAGCCCCGTCTATTCTGGGGGCCAACGGTCCTGTTGCTGGTCACCAGCAAACATGGTTCACAAAGGGAGGGGGGAGAACAGAAGAACAAGCACGGCGTACCCCTGTCGGCCTAGACGCGGAGCAGGGGGGGCTGGGGGGAGCATGATGTCGCATGAACCGAACTTTCAAGGATGTGAATGCTAAAGTTTTGCCCGAAGTCAAATGCCATAACCCCCCTACACACTGCTCTTTAACAACTGGATGACATGTGAGGCCGCGATCCAGCCGCTGCAGCCCCCTACGGACTTCGCAGACCTTTTCCCGCTCCAGGGGTTACTGGTGGTGGACAGAGGCTGGTTTGGGAGAGGAGAGAAATGAGATGGACCGAGGGCACAACGGGCATGGATGACGGTATTGACCGTGTACAGACTTGGACCCCAACCCCCCCCCCGAGACCCCAAGCGTTGGCCGCGCGGTCACATTCACCTACAATTTGCTCATATACTCAGGCTGAGGGAAAGGCCCTGCTAGGATGATCAGTATTATGTAGCAGCCTCATAGGCCGAAGAGGTAGCCACCCTGACAATTTTTCAAATGCACTGGACCCGTTTTCCAGCAGGTGAAGCTCCCCACCAATAGATCGGAGCCATCACCTGGGGCGCTAGTGGAGTCTGCTCATACCAGCACCACTAGCACGACCTGCAGACGGTCTAAAAAAAAATAAAAAAAAAATAAACTTTTGAAAAGCCCGTAAAGCTTGAAAACTTGCAAGCTAAAACCCAGATCAGGGTCTGCCTTAGGAACGAACTCCGGTGGCCTTCCGAGACCACGGTTTCGTCTTGCCGATAATACGCGTGCACAAGGGAGTCGGTTGAGGTATTGAACCACGTCTGTCCCCTGCTGGGTAGACTCTCTGATATTGGGCCTGCAGAAGAATGCATGAGCCTGGCGTCCGAAGTTCCCATATGGCAAGGTTCGTCCCCTTCCGCTTCCACTAGGGCTGGGGAGTTGTTGCCCAGCCTTGCTGCTTGTCACTTCTGTCTGGTCCAAGTTGCCCTGGATACGGGTAGAGGGTGATGGTCCCGAGTGCTGGTCACACTGAGGTTGGATAGTAGGGACAGGGGGTGCGCTGGGAGTATTAACGTGGGGAAGGGTAGGGAAGGTGACCTATCCTGTCAGGACAACCATTGGCTGCAGCTGCCAGCTATCACAGTGGGTGTAGTCCTTGGCCTCTACAACACCCTGGACTTTATAAAAATCAAAAGAGAACAAATAAAGAAAGAATTGCCAAACCGAGGGGATTGGCGGCAAGAGCCCAACATTTGCTTTTGTGATGCGCCTGTGCTGTAGGGTTTGCAATCCGATGGCAGAGGTTAATGCCCGCAGCTTTCTTGGTGGCCACGCTAGGCCTCCTGTGGCCCACTACGATACGACCCTAAACTCCCATGTGTAACTGTGAGATCCAGTGATGCCATTGTGGGCAGTGATTGTTCGAGCATCTGTGAAGGTGGAGGTACAAAATGCCTTCGTAGTTCAGGAGGTTGCATTATGCCTCTGTTCTTACGCACCAGCCCCCTCAAGGCTCAAACAGGTTTTGTTGTTGACCATTTAGTAATTGGCAACTCTTGAATTCATCTGTATTGATGATCTTAGTGCTGTTATTGCTGTGCCCTAGGTGTTGCTCTGATCAATCTTGCTCTTGTTATTTCCACTGCTCTAGGTTTGATGTCGATGTTATCATGGTGTCACTGTTGGCAGTGGTGTGGGTGTGGGCGTCAAGGCGAGTGTCTGTTTGTGTCATTATGGCACAGTGATGTCGGTACTGGCGTTGGCGTTGGCGTTGGTGTTGGTGTTGGTGTTGACGCTGATGTGAATTTTAGCGTTGGCATTGGCACGGGTGCGTGTGATGTGTTTGCATTATATCCGTGTTTGTATTTTCATCATTGTCACATTGTGTTCAGGATTGGTGTTGCTGCTGGTGTCACTATCAGCGTTGGTGTTTGCATCATGTTGCTGGTGCTGTTGGTGTTTGTGTTTTGCATTGTTGTTGGTGTTGACGTTGGTATTGATCTCCATGCCATTGTTTGCATGGTATTGTGTTGTGTTGGTGTTTATGTTATTGCTGTTCACAATGTGTTTTGCGTTGTGTTTGGTTCTGTGTTTGGTATTGGTGTGTGTGTGTGTGTGTGGGGGGGGGGGGGGGGGGGGGTTGACCAATCAACAAACAGCTTGATGTGCTCTCGCGAGTTCACCACAGGAATCTCGTGCGATTCTTTGGCTGCTGCGAGGAAGGCGATGAGCAGATGCTCGTTTACGAGTTCATGAAGAGCGGAACTCTGCATGCTCATCTTGTCGGTGAGTGATGGCAGTCAAATAAAACACGCTACCTTACATGGCGAGCGAGAGTAGCACCGCGCAATGACAGATAACAAAGGAGTGTGGTTGCAAAAGGACTATCGGAAGGAGCAATGAACATGTTTGAAAAGTAGGACGAAGAAACGCAAACAGTTTGGCAGCAGGACGGACGTGCCCTTCGTCCATGTCTCTGTTTGTTGCCCATGTCAGGCTTTTCTATCACGTCTGTAGACTCTGTACTGGCCCGCCTCTTTCTATTTCTTTTCTATTCATGTCGTTATTGTTGGTGGGAGACCAAGAAACGCTAACAGTTTGGCAGCAGAACGTACTTGCCCCCTTTGGTCATGTCCGCCTTCTGTCCATATCAGTATTTCATATCGTGTTCGCACTTGCCTGCCTCTTTCTATCTAGTTAGTGATTCCAAGCAGAACTTTCTCTGGCCACATAGGTTTTTTTCAGTTTTTTTTTTCTTTTCTTTTTGGGCAGGGACCTTGCCTGTCCCTTGCATGGCTGGCCACCCCGGCAACCGAGGTGACTCAGGCGGCCCGGTTGGTAGCCCAGGTGCGTAGTACTGCATACCCAATTTGCCTGGCCAGTTCCTGCCCATGAACGTAATTTCATGCTCCTGGACCAAGGTCCTGTGGGACCCGGGTGCATCGGAAAAGTAGGGTGTTACCTAAAGTTGGACAGCTTTTTTGGGGGGTACAGATGCAACTTCCCAGCTGGGACTGTGTGTAAAGGGAATTGCCATCTTTTTAAAAAAAATAAAAATAAAAATAAAAAGAAGAAGAAGAAGAAGAAGAAGAATTGCCATCCTTAAATTAGGTCCATACCTTTCTCGGCCTTTTGGCTAAGATCAAGTGTAGTATCTGTTCTGACCAGTTTGATATCTGATAAAAAAAAAAAAAAAAAAAAAAAAAGGTTCATAGCAGGTACAGGTACAATTTTCAATTTTCCCAAAAGAAGTAAAAGGGAGGAAAAAAAAAAGAAGAGACTGCAAAAAGAGACACTGATACCAACGGGCCTAGCGCAGTTGGTACACCGATGAAGCTGTTGAAATACAGACCTCAGTTCGAATCCAGATACCTTCAGATGAGGAAATAACTCTGACCAGATACTTTCAGATGAGGAAATAAATCTGACCAGATACTTTCAGATGAGGAAATAAATCTGACCAGATACTTTCAGATGAGGAAATAAATCTGACNAGATACTTTCAGATGAGGAAATAAATCTGACCAGATACTTTCAGATGAGGAAATAAATCTGACCAGATACTTTCAGATGAGGAAATAAATCTGACTTTACTCAGGGCTGGTTGGTTTGAACTTTGAACTTTGAAGTTTAAACTTTGAAGACGATATCTCAAGGCCATCTCTTCGCCCTTTTTAAAAAGAAAAAAGAGACTGTGAGGAAGCCATGTCCCATACCTCTCTTCGCCGCCCACTGATCCTTTACACTGCTTTGTTTCGTCTTGCAGGGAAGAGTGGTAGGACGCTGGATTGGAAATTGCGCCTTAACATCGCCATCGGGACAGCAAATGGGTTGAACTATCTTCACAATCATGCAGTATGTCTTTCTTGCTGTGCCCTTGCAGATGTAGAAAATGAGAATACAAATGAAAAAGGGGAGGAGGTGGGGGGCGGGGGGAGGGAGGGCACGGAGGGCAAAGGGGAAAGAGTGAGAAGAAAAGGCAGAGTCCTCCAGAGCCTGCGGCTTTGCCGTTCTTCTGTGCCTTTAAGCACAATGCAAAGACAGAATGGACCTGAATGGTTCGATTCGATCGGGACATGCACAATGATATTTGTCTTTTGTGCTCCCTCCTTACTTTTCCTTCTCCTCTAATGTAAGGATATTACCTCTCAGAATTCCTTCAGCCGAAGCCAGGTAATGGCCCCTGTAACTATCTGATTTTTCGGATTTTTTCCACATATCCAATGTTAGTAAGAGGCACCGGGCGCTGTTCCCAGCACAATGAAGCTCCCCACGAATAGATTTGACTCATTTGAGCAATGTCCCCGAAAAGAAGGAAGAAATGAAAAAAAGAAAAGAAAAAGAAAAAGAAAGAAAGAGGATATTACGGACAGATCTGTCATCAAGGAAACGTGGACATGTTTGCGCAGGGACCATGCAGTGCATGCATAGCATAGGTCATGATGGATTGGCAGATTGAATGATTGAGTGAGAATCAGAAGCAGCTTAACCTGCTGGTCAGATGTCGCAGTGATAGGTCTTGACAGCAGCAGAGTGATGTCTTGTCTGATAACCATGGTTAACATCATAGAGAGGTCATAGAGATTTCCCGCAACATGCATGTGTGCGAGCCGGAACTGAAAATTGTTTACGAAATAAGCTGCTGAGATCTCGACTTCTGTGACTTCAAATTTTGAAACGCTCGGTACTTGCGGGGTATGCTCTACATAAAGAATTGCTCATATGCAGGCCAAGCATTACTCTCTCTCTCTCTCTCTCTCTCTCTCTCTCTCTCTCTCTCTCTCTCTCTCTCTCTCTCTCTCTCTCTCTCTCTCTCTCTCTCTCTCTC